ATATATATATGTATGTATATGTATATGTATATGTGTGTATGTATGTCTATGTCTGTGTGTGTTTGTGTGTGTATATCTATATATATATATATACTCACACAATCATCGAAATTGCAAACACCCTTTTCATTACTACAGAACGAGCCAACAAGCCTGCCCCTGTGGCCATAGCAACCGACGATCTAGTTGAAGGTACAGTCGACACTACAGACTCACAATCGGGAAAAAAAAAATCAGCACAAAGGTAGTGATAAGTTGTGGTACTGGTTTGCGTACTGTAAGCGCTTGAAGCGTCTATGCGGTGTATTTGAGACAGATGTTGAGACTGGTAGGAACAAGGGAGGCCTTGGCGAGGAAGGAGAGTCGTTCGCTGGACGATATGTCGGACGGTCTGGGTGTTTGGGCCCTGGCGACTGTTACATTTTCGTGCATGTGGCAAAACGTTAGACTGGGTTGAGCGAGGCTTTGAACGCAGTAGACATCTCGTATGTCTCACAAATGATACGACAAAGGCGGGCTTTACGTGGAACAAGAGATCGAACTACTAGGGATAGGTAGGTCCTACGGAGAAGAGCAAGGTCGTACGAGGTAGGGGGATATAAGACTCCCAGCGATCTGTAGGGCCCTTCAAGTCATTGTTTTGTCGTACCGGCACACTGTGACTTGTAAGCCCTCGAGACAGTCGTATTGTCGTGCGTGTTCCGAGACAGTGGAGTTATCGTATGGGAAACAGACGAGAAAATACGACCGACCATGAACATTGTGAGATCATGTCTTACCCTTGGAATTGAATTTGTACCAGTAGAGCAAGGGCCTTTCGATGCTGCCTACAGTAGCACTGCCTACAGTAGTACTGCCTACAGTAGTGCTGCCTACAGTAGTGTTGCTTACAAGTAGTATTGCCTATAATAGTGCTGCCTGCAGTAGTGCTGCCTGCAGTAGTGCTGCCTGCAGTAGTGCTGCCTGCAGTAAGTGCTTCCGTGTGGCAGAGAATTGGTGGCATCGTATGAACGACAGTGTGTTCACAGTTGCGAGTAATTGGCGGCTCGAACATTTTAAGGTTTGGGGAATTGGAAATGTCTTACAGGATCAGACTACCAAGTCGTAAAGGAAGTACCAGACACAGTAGTAGAGTTATACGGATGGTAGTTGACCGAGAAGTGTCCATATCTATCTAAGTCACAGTCACAGTAGCAGGAGCAATGTTGTACGGGTGTTAGTTACCTGCCCTCGGCTCACACGGCCAATGTCTTGCTTGGCTTCGGAGAGGGTGGGTTTTAGGGTTTAGGGTTCCGAGCCCGGTGTGGCAGTGTCCTGTGATGACTTCGGAGGAATGTTCAACAGAAAAGGGTTTGATTTTGGTCCTTGGACAGTGGCGTGAAGAAATGGAATGGATTGCTCCGAATAGAGTGTGTGGGTTCTAGGTGACTGACTCTCACAGGGCGTGGCCTTGGTGTGTGGGTTCTAGGTGTCTGACTCTCATAGGGCGTAGCCTTGGTGTGTGGGTTCTAGGTGACTGACTCTCATAGGGCGTAGCCTTGGTGTGTGGGTGCTAGGTGACTGACTCTCATAGGACTAGTTATAGTTAAGCCCAGCACTTGGCTGAAGCACTCGGCAGAGATGTTGTATTGGTACCACGTAGTGAGGTTCTACTGAGAACCTTGCCGGTAGTGTCGTACTATTGATAGACCTCTCACGAGTACAGGTGCGGTTTAGAAGTAGTCGATGGTAGTTAAGCAGGAGTAAGAAAGGTAGTGCGAAAGCAAAATTAAGGAATTTGAGAGTAAACCATAGAGTATGTGAGTAATCACAAGATTGCGAGTGAGTCATCGGAAGTTCACCTACACACGGCGACACACCGCTACTAACAATAAAAGTGTAGCCAGTGGAGTATACGAGTGAACGCATACTCGCGTCATCCGAACGAGCGATCAAGCCACACTCTGCTACCACCCGCATCAAAATGGAAAATGCGAATACGAATGCAAACGGCTGCACGGTATGTAGGTAGAATCACTGATGGTAGGTAAAATCACTGTGATGTAGGTAGAATCACTCTGATGGTAGGTAGAATTACTCTGATGGTAGGTAGAATCACTCTGATGGTAGGTTGAGTTACTCTGATCGTAGGTAGAATTACTCTGATCGTAGGTAGAATCACTCTGATGGTAGGTTGAGTTACTCTGATCGTTGGTAGAGTTACTCTGATGGTAGGTAGAGTTACTCTGATCGTAGGTAGAATCACTCTGATGGTAGGTATAATTATTCTGATGGTAGGTATAATTACTCTGATGGTAGGTAGAATTACTATGATGGTAGGTAGAATCACTCTGATGGTATGTAGAACCAATCTGATGGTAGGTAGAATTACTCTGATGGTAGGTAGAATCAACCTGTCACGAACGGGCGCGTACGGCCATTGAACGTGCGCTATTACCTATTGGGATACAACTGGCTGCGATAGGGACAGACACCTCAGTGGAGTGTGAGAGGGGACGCGTAATCATCCGAAATAGCGATCACCCCACACAACAGAAGGGCGACCAACCCCAACAGAATGAGTGAGCGGCCCAAGTACACGTGTGGGTCATGGCGTGGTGGCAGTACAAACACCGTGTGACGAACAGGCGAGTGCAACTATGGAACATGCACAAGCATCTTTTGGGGACAGCCGAGTGAGGTAGGCATAGCAACCCGGAATACGATACGATACGGTTAGGTTGCCGTAGGGTTTGTCAAGAGGTGAGTGTGGGGACTGCAGGTGAATTGACTATGGCCAACAGATTGCCCAGGTCAGGTGCACAGGCAGCAGAAAGTGAGTGTTTCTGATATGATCACATGCACTACGAGGTATGGCCGGAATAATAGTTGTTCACTCGACAGAAACCATTAGTTTGAATTTGTCTCACTTACTAGACTTAGTCAGCAAGAATTAGTCTCACTATCCTTGGTCAGAGAAAATTAATTTTGCACTAGGCTTAGTCAGGAATAATTAGTTGCTCACTCGACAGAAACAATTAGTTTCTTACTAGACTTAGTCAACAAGAATAAATCTCACTAGCCTTGGTCAGAGAAAATTAGTTTTGCACTAGGCATAGTCAGGAATAATTAGTTGCTCACTCGACATAGATAATTGGATTTTCCTATACATGACGAACTACGGCTCGAGTAGGAATAAAACTAACTGGTTGATGGATACTCCGTTGAATCTGCGAGTACTCCTTGGAGTACGAGACTGTCCAATAAAATGTGTTGAAATGTGTTAGTGATTACAGCAATCAGGCTGCGAGTGAGGGACGTTTTTTAATTATTTTTTATGGTTTGAATAAGCGACGGGCGTAGCCTACGGAATGTGAATGAAAATCCGGCGCGTTGAACCTATTATACGTACACAACTAGTTAAAACAATGGATTGTGATTGGCAGGCACGCCATCAGAGACCGTACTTCCTACACTCCTTTTCTCAATATTTGAAGTGCGAGGTTGCCCTGTAGCATAAATGTGAGTATGGGTATGCCCACTCTGCAACAACCGCAGTAAGCACCCTGTATGAAGACATACACGTGAGAGACTGTGCATCCTACACTCCTTTTCTCAATACTTGAGGTGCGAGGTTGCCCTGTAGCATAAATGTGAGTATGGGTATGCCCACTCTGCAACAACCGCAGTAAGCACCCTGTATGAAAACATACACATGAGAGACCGTCCATCCCACAGTCCTTTTCTCAATACTTGAGGTGCGAGGTTGCCCTGTAGCATAAATGTGAGTATGGGTATGCCCACTCTGCAACAACAGCAGTAAGCACCCTGTATGAAAACATACGCATAAGAGACCGTACATCCTACACTCCTTTTCTCAATACTTGAGGTGCGAGGTTGCCCTGTAGCATAATTGTGAGTATGGGTATGCCCACTCTGCAACAACCGCAGTAAGCACCCTGTATGAAAACATACACATGAGAGACCGTACATCCTACACTACTTTTCTCAATACTTGAGGTGCGAGGTTGGCCTGTAGTATAAATGTAGGTATGGGTATGCCCACTCTGCTACACCCGCAGTAAGCACCCTGTATGAAAACATACACATCTCAATCCTAATGCGACACTATGCCAAGTGCGCCTGAGAGAGCAAGGTTGCTGCATATCAACTACAGGAAGTTCGGTGGTAGCCACCGGACTCTACATACCCCATAGAGCATGGTATAGATAGTTGCACTCCCATCTGTAGACTACACACTATACTTTAGATATATTTAATACTTATCTTATTATCTGTAGACTACATACTACACTATAGATATATTTAATACGTGTCTTATTAACTGCAGACTACATACTATACTGTAGATTTATTTAATACTTGTCTTATTATCTGTAGACTATAGATATATTTAATACTTATCTTATTATCTGTAGACTGCATACTACACTATAGATTTATTCAATACATGTCTTATTAACTGCAGACTACATACTAAACTATAGATTTATTTAATGCTTGTCTTATTATCTGTAGACTACATACTATACTATAGATTTATTTAATACTTATCTTATTATCTGATTATCTGTAGTCTACATACTATATACTATAGATTTATTTAATACTTATCTTATTATCTGTAGACTGCATACTAATCTATAGATTTATTTAATACTTATCTTATTGTGGTACCACTTGTGTATGTACTTGTATATATTCATTCACCTTACGGTCCTGCGCAACGTGAGCTTGTGACAGCAGGGGTGCTTGCCATCGCCTAGATTCTCTTGGTTGCTATGGGGATTCTGACTGCAACTAATTGTTTCGTAGCCCAATTTCTTCACTCCCTCGATGATCTCTGGCAGTTCCAGACCCGACCGCCAGATCTGACCTTGACGCAGATGTAGCTGCAGTGTCGAGAAGATGTGTTTCTATTGAATTCTGGGCTTTCATATATACCATGTATGACAAATATACATTTAAGCACAGTCACTGATACTTGTGTGTAACCGTTCATGATTGTAATTACAACTATATCAATCTGCGCTGGGTGATAGACACGTCAACACGCTATCATCATCAGGCTGGACTGAGAGGGATGATACCCAAAATAAGAGGCATGAGCAGAAAGTGCAAGTGCTGCATACATATACTGAACGATCAATTAACCGGTTGCTGGGAATACGCTTGCATGCGAATAGATTTAAGAACATACATATGGTGATAAATGTATGTATGTACAGTATTTCATGTGTATATGAGAGTATATACGATGCATCTTTATAGCCTATAACCGAATTAATTCCAATAATACATATGGTATCTGAAGTATATCATACATATATATATATATATATATGTGTGTGTGTGTGTGTGTGTGTGTGTGTGTGTGTGTGTGTGTGTGT